GCTCCTCTCACAGTCTGCCCTGAAGACCGGAACGGCGCGGGAACACGGCGAGAGGAACGCGCGGAGCAAAGGTAAGTGAATTGACACAGGGGGGACTTGGCTTGCTACTTGGGGGGGGGGAATAGTACTATGGGGGATGAAATACTATATGAGGGATGAATTACTATAGGGGGGATGAATTACTATAGGGGGGATGAATTACTCTATGGGGGATGAATTACTCTATGGGGGATGAATTACTCTATGGGGGATGAATTACTATATGGGGGTTGAATTACTATGCTTACTATGGGGGAATATTACTATACTTACTATGGATGACACATACACATCATTCATCTACTCTTGGTCCGGCCCCCGGGTCCAATATATGAACCCATTGCGGCCCTCAAGTCAAAAAGTTTGCCCACCCCTGGTTTAGAGACAGTTCAATGTTCCTCTCCTAAAAGCAGAGTAATCACTTTTGGCAAGGTGTGTAAACGTGCCTAAGCACTAGCCACAGTTGGAGCTTGGATGTTTATTCATTTCATTGGCAAGTACTTTGGCTATTAATATGAATAAACATCTAAGCATTTTACTACATTTACGTGCATTTTTGCTGCATTTAGCATTTATCTGCTGCCAGGAGTGTTGACGTCTATGGGTGTTCCAATGTAAGGTAGTTTGCCAAACTGCTCCAACTATCTCAGGTTTGAAGAGTGCCTTCTCCAGACTGTGTTTCAGCTCTTTCCAAAAGATGTTCTGCTGGGTTCAGCATAAAAGGCCAATTCAGAATATCCCAATGTTGTGTTCTTTAGCTTTAGACCTGTGACTCGAACAGAGCTTTCTGACATTGGGCAGTATGTTTCATTCCATATTTCCATGATAATGTGGATATTTTGTTGTACTCTGCACATTCAAGCCCCCCCTATGCCAGACAAATTGGTCCCAAAATATAAGCAATATATGATGTCCTTTTCTTTGAAAGTTTCATTTTTTTTATCTGTGAACATATTGCTGATTTGACTTGCATAAAAGCCTCAATTTTGTGTTACCTTAGCATTGTGGCTCATCAGTTTGAATGTTAGAAAGTTCCAGTCTGCTATTTTGTGTCCAAGTTTAGCTTATAGATCTATGACCAGGATAGTGTAAATGATGCACAAAAAGAAAACTTCCAATCTAAAGTTTTTTTCCTTTTGCGGCCATGTCCAGGGAAGTTGGCAACACTCCATGGACATTGAACTTCTTTGATTGAGATGATCTTGTAGGCTTTACCTTTTGACATGCTGATCTATGTATACAGTATATATGTTTTTATTTATCTCTTTGCTTTCTCTGGTGCTTATTTAGTGTCATGTATGTAATGCCAAATGGTCAAATGACTACTTTTTTGAATGTTTACGAGATTGGAGACCTGAGTGATACTAATTACAGAAAACCGTTAACTTGAATTATTACTATGATCCAATTTTTTAAAATCTCTTCTGTCCATATCTTTTTAAAATATCTTTGTACAATAAGCAGTGCTTTCTCTTCTCCCCATTTCTTTGCATTACTCTGACATACCAAGACATCCATGTATACAACAGATAATTGCTTTTAATGGATAAGTTCACATTTTGCACAAATAATAAATGCACAGGTAAAAAAAAATGTGCAGTTGTTATTTTTGTCTGCAGGAGCCTGTGAAGCATTGCACCAGCAATCAGCAGATCCTTGGTGCCAGGCAGGTCTCTCAGTATATCTCCTTGCCCGTATGGTCAAACAGATCTACTGAAAGGAACATTGTGAACTACCATGGTGCTCCACAGCTCTATCATAGTTCTTTGAAACCTACAAGCCAACAGCCGTTAAGGCTGTCGGGACTTGCAGTTCATTCGTTTACAGGACTCTGAGTGAATGACACGGCCGTGTGGGAACTTTCAGGAGTAATGAAGCATTGATTTCATGAGATGTATTGTACCGACAAATTCGTCCATGTCTGTATTCTGATTCTATACCCACTTTATATAATCCTTTATTATAAACTAAATCTAAGGATTTCCAGTATCTTTTTGTGTTTGTCCACATAACTTTACCTCTTACAACATATGGGCAATGAAAAGTTGGGTGAATGAACAAAATGAAAAGGATTGAAATAATGGAGATACAATATGGGGAGGAGGTGCCAATATATGTGTCCAAGTTATGCACGAGGACACGGAGGATGGTGGTACCCCTCCTCCAGAAATGTGTTGACTAGATCTGTGTGCCACAAGCATGGTGACTGTAACTTTCATGAAAACGAATCAATATACACTTATTGGAATTTTTTTTTTTCTTATCAGACATGTAGCGAAATACATTTTTGGCCAGAATTTATGAAGACATTTGTTTTTTGTTTTTTTTTTTTTTTATTGAATGTTTTATAGCAGAAAGTGAAAAAAAAATTTATATATTTTTTTTTTTTTACAAAATTTTCTGTCTTTTTTTTTCGTTTTACATTGCAAAAGATAAAAACCCAGTGATGATCAAATATCGCCAAAAGAAAGCTCTGTTTGTGTGCATAAAAGATCTACATTTTTTTTTAATACATTGCCACATGACTGTAAAATCTTCCAGCGCTTAAGTGGTTAATGCTTTTTATTTGTTTTGAAAATTGATTTTAAAGCGGAGTTCCACCGGAAAAAAAAAAAAATTCAAAGTCAGCAGCTACAAAAACTATAGCTGACTTTTAAAATACAGCCACTTACCTGTCCCTCGGTCCAGCGGTGTCCTCACCATGGCTGGTTTCACTGGTTGTCTTCTCTCCCTGGCGCCGGCATCTTCAGTATGGGCACTCGGGTGCCCACTGTGCATGCGCGAGAAGCGCTGCGCTTTGTCAATGGCCCCGTAGTCTTCTGGGACCTGTCACTTGTCCCAGAAGACTATGGGGAGGGAGGGGGAGAACCGCTTCCGGTCGCCTTAGGCTATTGTAGCGGAAGTCGGATCGGGTACCTGTCAAATTCGGGTACCCGCTCCCCAAAAGTGCCAATCCTTAATGGGGAGCCGGGGACAAAGACTTAAAGTGAAACTTCCCCTTTTGGGGTGGAACTCCGCTTGAATCCCTTAAAAATGTATCCCTTGAGGCATTAAGTAATTGCAATTTTTTTGTCTTTCAGTTTTAATCTTGGAAATGGTAGAAAATGCTGACCTCAGTAACAAGGTTCTAAAAATCACAGACTTTGGCCTGGCAAGAGAATGGCACAGGACGACAAAGATGAGTGCGGCGGGTACCTATGCTTGGATGGCACCAGAGGTTATTCGCTCCTCTATGTTCTCTAAGGGCAGTGATGTGTGGAGGTAAGTTACTTTTGTCTCTTATTCTGCTTTCCTAACCATTTATCTTCTACAATGAATTCGGATTTGTTGAGATAGTTTTGTCACTGTTCAAGTTGCAGCAACGTTGGACAAGCTGTTGTAGCAATGCTGCTTCAGGCTTCGTTCTCAAGCAAATGTTAACTTTGATGAATTCCTTAACAATTTTTTGTTAACTTGGGACTTTGGGCATAAAATGCTTCATTGTGATCCTCACCAGCAGGGTTTTCCAAACTTGCATGCTTGTGATTCTACTAGACCAGAGAATCTTCTCCATTGAAGGCTACATGTCTGACAGAACTGACAGCAGTCCTCAGATAAGTGAGGAATTTGTAACCTGTGGTTTTTAATTAGAAATGCAGAAATGACAGGTCAGTAAAGCTTCCAGCACGGCCCTGCTCTAAGGCTGGCTGTACAGAATCAGATTAGGTTTCTGATTTCTTTTACCAAGAGATGTATAATGTAAGAATTTCCGTGGCTGGATCAGAGCAGTGGGTTTTTGGCGCCAGGATCTGTAGGTAAGGCTGTGACATTTTGGCACAGGGCACAAGTGTTTTTTTTTTTTTTTTTTTTTTTTTTTAATGCTTTTGGTGTATTTGTTGAAAGCCTTATGCCAAAGTTACAAACCATCACATATCTATCAGAAAATGAAAAAAAACTGTGATCAGTATTTTGGGGCATTTGAGATTAAAGGAAAAAGAAAAAAAAAAAAAAATCATAAAATTGACCCAAAACAATTTTCAGTTTAATTTATACTTTTTAACCACTTTCCCTCCAGAGGATTTACCCCCCTTCCTGACCATGCCATTTTTTGCAATACGGCACTGTTACTTTAATTGACAATTGTCTTTTTTTCACCCACAAATAGAGCTTTCTTTTGGTGGTATTTGATCGCCCGTGTTTTTATTTTTTTGCGCTATAAACAGAAGACAGACTGGCAGTTAGAGAAAATGTTTTTTCTATACAACTTATCCAGTAAAAAAATTTTAACAATCAAATTCTTTTCATAAATTTAGGTCAAAATGTATTCTGCTACATGTCTTTGTTTAAAAACAAAAAAAAAAAAAATCCCCCAAAAAATATACTGGATTTTTTTTTTTTCTTTTTTAATACTAGTAACGGCAGCGGTCAGCAACTTATAGTGAGACTGCGGCAGGCATTCTGACACTTGGGAGGGAACTGGCTAACTGCCACTGACATCCCAATAATACTAATACAGTGATCAGTCCTAATAAAAAAGTACTGATACTATACTAATGACACTGGGCAGGAAGGGTTTAACATCTGGGGCAATCAAAGGGTTAACTGTGTGCTGTTTTACTAAGTATGCTGTGAGTGTTTTACTAGGGAAGGTTTACACACAGGTCTCTCCCCTGTCAGTGATACTCAGCGATTGCCGGATGCTGGCCAGGACCCAGTAATCAACATCTGTAGCCACCACCCGGAAATGCAAAATCACGTATATATACGTGATTTTGCGCAGCCCTGCTGTACTGTAGAATTAGTTTTGCTATAGGGTGGTCGGGAAGCTGTTAACCACCTCCCACCCGCCATATAGTAAAATGATGGCCACAAGGTGGTTCTCTCGTTCTGGGAGGACATCATATGATGAACTCCCATTCTCACCGCGCATGTGTGGCCCAGGGAGCACGCGGCGATCGGCGGTTCGCTGTGTCTCTCGGACACAGCGGATCTCTGATCCACGGAAAGAGCCGAAGATGTCGGCTCGGTCATGTGATCAGCTGTGTCACATGTAATCACATGTAAACGGGGAAATGCCGGTTATCGGCATTTCTCTCCTCACAAGCTGTCACGCTGACAGCTCGAGAGGAGAGGAGAGCTGGTAATTGGCATTCCACGGAGGGGACATGTACACTGATCATCAGAGCACTGATGATCAGTGTGCCCTGATGATCAGTGTAGCCCCAGCAGTGCCACCTGTCTGAGTCCATCAGTGCCAGCTGTCAGGGCTCATCAGTGTCACTTATCAGTGCCTACCAGTGCACATTAATGCCACATATCAGTGCCCATCTGAGCTGCCTGTCAGTGCCGCCTATCAGTGCTGCCTGTCAATGCCACCTGCCAGTGCCTCCTCATCAGTGCCACCTATCGGTGTCCATCACTGCAGCGTCATCAGCACACATCAGTGAAGGAGAAAAATCACTTATTTACAAAATTTTATAACACAAACTAAGAAGCGGGTTTTTTTTTGTTTTTTTTTTTTTTTTCAAAATTTTCAGTGGTTTTTGGTTTCTTTAAGAAAAAAAATAAAAAAACTCAGAGGTGATTAAATACCACCAACATAAAGCTCTGTCACAAAAAAATGATAAAAATTTCATATAGGTACAGTGTTGCATGACCGCGCAATTGTCATTCAAAGTGTGACAGCGCTGAAAGCTGGAAATTGGCCTGGGCAGGAAGGGGTATAAGTGCCCTGTAGGCTAGGGGTTAAGCTAATGTTTTCTACCTGTTTATTTTTAACTTTCTATGTTCAATAGTTTTTACAAGTTAACATATAATACATAACAAAGGATTCCAGGAACAGTATGTGCTTTCTAAAGTGACATCATTAAAACCCATTTAAACCCTCCTAATTTTTTACTGTAATACATTCAGGATGCCTTTTATAGTAATGAGTATGCCTCTTATTTACTGTATCTAAATGAGGCGGCAAGGGTTAAAAACCCTTTGCTGGTAGTAGTAAGTGTTGGGTTGCCTAGTTCTCCCACTCTGTGGTTAGTGGGTTGCTTCTAACCACTTGCCACTTGGCTACAGTAGGCTTACTTTGACCCAGCGGCAGCTGAAGGATCAGTAAAGTAAATAAATTTACAATTTAAAGTTACAAGTTTACAAACACACAGGACTTTGTAGACAGAGCAGCAATCTAGCTGTTTCTTCTCCCTGAAAAGCAGGGATGGAAAAATAGCCAGATCTGTCAGCAAAAGCAGCACATATTGCAGACATTACACTTGTTAAACACTCACTTAACCCCTTGTTTTCCCCTTGATTTTATCCTCTTCCCAGCTAGCGCAGTTAGGACCGTGTACAGTATTATATCTGATCACTGTATTAGTGTCACTATTTATTTCAGTGCCAGTGTACCTCCCAGCGAGAGTCTGTTAGTGCCAGATTGCCCACCACACTTATAACAGTCCCACTATAAGTTGCTGATCAGTGCTATTGTCAGTATAGCGTCATAAATGCATAAATTCCAGTGTGTGTATGTGTATATATATATATATATATATATGTGTATATATGTGTGTGTGTGTGTGTGTGTATGTATATATATATATATATATATATATATATATATATATATATATATATATATATATATATATATATATATATATATATATATCTCTATATCTCTCATAGTTTGTAGACACTGTAACACAAACCAGTTTATATGGAATTATTTTTTTTTTTTTTTTACCAAAGATGTAGCAGAATACATTTTAGCCTAAATTTATGAAGACATTTTTATTTTTTGATCTTTTTTACATATGTTTTTTTTGTATTTTTTTCCAAACTTTTCAGTCTTTTTCATTTATATAATAAAAAATAAAAAAACCAGTGGTGATCAAATACCACCAAAAGAAAGTGCTATTTGTGTAAAAAAAAAAAAAAAAAATACTGTGTATTTATAAAGTGTTCAGATCCCCTTCACTTTTTTCAATTTTGCTATGTTGAAGCCTGATACTACAGTTGTTTAAATTCATTTTTTTCTCTTTACATGTTATACCCCATAATAAAGTGAAAACAGAATTTTAGAAAAGTCTCTATTTTTTTAAAAAGGAAAAAAACTGAAATCACAAGCAACATTAAACATTTGTTTTTGTTTTACTAAAATAACAAATATGTTTTACTTACCTGCTCTGTGCAGTGGTGAAGGACAGAGCAGCCCGGATCCTACTCTTTTGGGGTCTACAGCCAGCGCACATTATACCAATTTTATTTGCAATAGTGTTTGATGACCTAGCAATTGCCAATTAGAGTAGTACAGTGCCGAATAGTAATAAAATGCCCTGGTAATGAAGGGGGTGAAACCTTACATGAGGTTAAGTGATTAAAGTAGTTCACCGTAACGTATTCCCTTTATCGTGGTAAATGTCCCAGAGTCCTATCGTGACTCAGCATTTGTGCCCACCCGCAGAAGCGCTGGTCTCTCCTCACAGACTCAGACAGCAGTGGGAACCATTGGCTCCTTCTGTCATCAATCAAATCCTGTGAAGAGGGAGTAGGGTCGGAGCCAAGCTGCACTATGTGTGTCAGTGGACAGCTCCTGGCTCAGGAGCAAACTATCAGATGTGCCACCATAGGAAGTGACTTCCTGTGGTGGCACTCAAAAGAGAGCATTGGCAGGGAAGAGGATGTTCGAGGCTGCATTGCACAGAGCAGGTAAGTATTCCAGGATTATTATTTTAATAAACAATACCCTTTACAATGGCTTTAATGCTGTTAAAATAAAGCAAAAGATGTGGAAAATTATGCTGTGTTCGAGATTTGCTTTGCTTACACAGTATTCCTTCTAACAGCCCCCTGAATAATTCTGTAATCAACAGCGCTGCTCGTGAAGCAGGAGAAATGTTGATTAGAGCAGTGGTTCAGTTGGTGTGTCAGCACAGGAGAGCTGGGCCAATGCATGTGTGTGAGAGCCACAGTTGGACTTGTCTGTGTGCTGGCAGCACAGTGTTTTATTTTTTATTTTTGTTTTTTTGCTGCAACACTTACAATGGCTTTACTTTTTTTTTTTTTTTTATTTGCAGCATTACAGTAATACATTTACAAGTTTAGTTTGGGCTTTTAAAGTAGCATCCTGCTTTGTGACTGGCTTTGTCTGATTGAAACTTCAGACTTGACTTTCTAAAAGGGATTGAATGACTCATTGCTGTGTTTTAGTCCTCTATGTATTTGAGCTTGTAAAATGATGGGCCTTTTATAGAAAAGATGTTTTCCTGGAAAACAAATAAAAACATATACAAATATATACAAAACCAACATACGTTCCCTGTTTTATAATGACCTAATCTCTCATTAGAACTATTTATATTGGCAGCAAATTAAGACATGCTGGTCCGTAACAATTCTGATATGGTAACACCATTTCTCTATCTTGGGTTTATGCTTCTCCATTTGTTAACTACCACACCTACATGCTTGTCTCCTGTACAAAATGTTGTTCATTGCCAAATGCATCCAGAAACTGAAGGAGAGGTGGGAGTGGGTGGACTTGGGTGTGTTTACTGGATGAAAAGAGCTAAGATACCTCTGCCAGGATCATGGAAATTATGTTTAATTTATCTCGCAGCAACCTTTTTCAAATGTTTACAAGCATGAATCTTGTATGAAGCACACACTACTAATTTCTTTTTTTAAACTGGGAACTAATAAGGGCTCTCTCATAAGTAAATACACTTCTAATGTATGTCCAATAAAATGTAAATACTGTGTATTCATAAAGTGTTCAGATCCCATTCGCTTTTTTCAATTTTGCTATGTTGCAGCCTGATACTACAGTTGCTTAAATTCATTTTTTTTTTCTTTTACTCTACACGTTATACCCCATAATAACAAAGTGAAAACAGAATTTTAGAAAAGTCTATTTTTTTTTTAAAAAAAGAAAAAAACTGAAATATCAATGTACTTAAAGCAACATTAAACATTGTTTTTTTTTGTTTTTACTAAAATAACAAATATGTTTTACTTACCTGCTCTGTGCAGTGGTGAAGGACAGAGCAGCCCGGATCCTACTCTTTTGGGGTCTACAGCCAGCGCACCAGGCTCCTCCTCCTAAGCGGGTTCCCCATAGTAAGCTGTGTTCCATGGGGGCACCCATGTGGGCTCGCACCTGAGCCGCCCTGTCCATTGATAGAGCAGGCAGCTCAGCCCCACCCACCACTGGCTCAGTACAGCATTTGATTGACAGCAGTGGGAGAAAGGAGACAGTGGCGAGAGCCGATGCTCACATTACTGGATTGAATTGGGCTCAAGTAAGTATAAGGAGGGCTAGGGGGTATCCTGCAGCACAGAAATGCTTTCACCTTAATGCATAGAATACATTAAGGTGAGAAACCTCAAGGCTTTAGAACTACTTTAAAGTATGCAAACCCTTTACTTAGTACTTTGTTGAAGCACCTTTGGCAGCAATTAGTTTTGAGTCTTTTTAGGTACGTCACAACAAGCTTTGCACACCTGATTTGGGGGATTTTCTGCCATTCTTCTTTGCAAATCCTCTCCTGCTCAGTCAGGTTGGATGGGAACAGTTGGTGGACTGCCATTTTCAGGTCTCTCCAGAGATGTTCAATAGAGTTCAAGTCAGGGCTCTGGCTGGGCCACTCTAGGATATTCACAGAGTTGTCCCTAAGCCACTCCTGTGTTCTCCTGGCTATGTGCTTAGTAGCTTAGTATCGTTATGTTGGAAGGGGAACCTTTGGCCCAGTCTGAGGTCCTGAGTGCTGTAGAACAGGTTTTCATTGAGAATATCTCTGCACTTTGCTCCATTCAGCTTCCTCAACCCCAACCAGTCACCCAGTCCCTGCTGCTGAAAAACACCCCCACAGCATAATGCTACCATCGCCATTCTCCATTGTTGGGTTCAATCTTGGTTTCACCAGACCAGAGAATCTTGTGCACAGTCTGGGATTCCTTCTAGTGCTTTTTTTTTGCAAACAAGCAAGTCTTCATGTGTTTGCACTGAGGAGAGGCTTTTGTTTAGCTACTCTGCCATAAAGCCATGATCAGTGGAGGGCTGCAGTGATGGTTGTCCTTCTGGATCTTTGTCCCCTCTCCACACAGGATCCCTGGAGCTCATGCAGAGTGACCATTGGGTTCTTGGTCACCTCTCTCTTTTTAGGCACTTATCCCCTGATTGCTCAGTTTGGCCAGGCTACCAGCTCTTAGACTAGTCCTGGTTGTGTCAAACTTCATCCATTTGAGAATTTACGGAGGCCACTGTGCTCTTGGGAACCTTTAGTGCAGAAGAGTATTTTTATAGCTCTCTCCATATCTGTCTTGCGATAAGTCTGTCTCCGAGCTAGTTCCTTTTCACCTCATGGATTTTGCTCTGATACAGTATGCATTGCCAGCTGTGAGGCCTTTTATAGAGAGGTGTGTGCTTTCCAAATCCTGTCCAATCAACTGAATTTACCACAGGTGGACTCCAATCAAGTGTAGAAACC